GTGGGGTTCAGGGCAGTTCTCAATTCTAAAATATGCCACTTGCATGGGCTGATTATTTTGAATTAAAGTTACTTAAGAGAGGGATATGGGCTCCATGTTAAGTGTGAAACTCTAGTGAAAAAAAGAGGACATAAAAGTGTTAGGATAGTGGAGGGAGAGGAGAAGGTTATGAAGATGACTTAAAGAAGAAGAAAATATTTCATTTCATCTGCCTTGTCATTGGGAAAAACAGGAGAGTAGAAGGCATCCTGGTCACCAGAAGTAGGGGAATTCAGAGCCAAGGAAGGCTTTACAAACAAACCCCGTTACTTCACCAATTCACTACCCTCAATCCCAAACTTTTGTCTCATCAGGTTCTTCACAAATGGTTGTTTTGTTTAAAAGGTATGTAAAAGCTGCTCATGCTGGTCATGAGTCTTGAAGTTTTTTGTTTGAAGCTCCCATGTATGAAATGAAATTTGTTTTCTCTCTATTAATCTGTCTTATGTCAATTTAATATTAGACCAGCCCAGGAATCTAGAAGGCAAGAAGGGAGAACTTTTTTCCTCTCCTACAATCATACATGTTTCCCACTTCGCAGACAGGGCAACTATGCTTTGTACAAAAACAAATCCCACCTCCAACTTCTTCTCAAAAGTCTCAATACATGAGCACACATCCAGTTCTAAATTCAAGACTGCGCTTCTGCTGGGTCAGTAGTAGAGCATGTGACTCTGGATCTTGGGGTCCAGAGTTCAAGCCCCACATTGGCCATAGAGCTTATTCAAAAAAAAAGAAAATGTAAAAATAAAAATGATAGCTGAACAATGTTCATCCTTCTTTAAGTTTGTTGCTACAATCGTACTGATATTCTGTCATTTGTGGGCTAAAACTGTAAATTTCAACTACCGGCCACCACCCTATATATAAGGGGAAAGAGAATACATTAACATGTCATCAACACGCTGCAGAAACAAGGCTATGGCAAGACACACACACACACACACACTCCAAAAATATGAAAGAAAAAAACATATGAACAACCACTTCCATTTTGTTTCCCCTCTGAAACTATTACAAGGCCATAGTTGATATTTATAACTTTTCTTCAATTCATCTGTTTTCTGTTTCCTCAACCAGTCTCTCAGCTAAGTTCTTTGCTGGTGGACTGAGGTAAAAAAGCTCTTCATTTCTGAGAGATATGAGCCCTCTTGTAGTCCTGCCTATATGGTGTTGCTGTAATCTTCATCAGTTTTTTTACCACTCCCTGAACATTGCAGGTATTGGGGGCGCACCTTTCAGGCTTAATCCTCCCTGCCTGCATTGCATAAAAGCAACTACAAACATCCCTTGATGATCAGGACTAATCACACCAATCAAAGTTCTAAGCTTTTTCCCATTATCCAGTGACATGTGTAGCTTGGAATAGCTCGGCTGCAGTCTCAACATTCATTCAGTTCAATGGAGTCTTGTAGTTTCTACTGGTAGACTAATAATCAGGACCCCTAAATCAGCAGAGAGGCTAAAATCAAGGAACAGATAGAAACTACCTGCAAATGGATGTTGAACAGGCAATCCACCATTCCAGATGATGAAAATTGGGAAAGACATGGATTCACCAGTGTGAATTCTCTTGAGCTCTTTTCTTTGCCTTATTTTGCTATAAACAGTTCTTCATCAGAAGCAGTTGTAAGGGGATATCATGATTGTGCGAGGCCCATGCAAACGTGCAGGTAATTGGGTTGAGGTGTTGTAGGCATGGAAGATAACCACACTGCAGCACCTGATCCATTTGAAGCGAGCCCATTGTAATCACCCAGTA